TCTTTCGGTCTCCACCCCCCTCTTGCTTCCGGCTCCTAAGCATCTGAGGGCTTCGGGGTCGTGGCAGGGTTTAGAGGTTCCCGAGACTCAGGCGGTTTCAGGGGGGTGCCCCTTCCGGGGTGGTGACGGAGGCATTTCTGTTCCTCCAGCTGTAGCTCCGGGGTTTGACCAGTGGGCCCATTCTCTTCCTGCTATTTCAGCTGCCCCGTTTATTTCTTGTGAGTCCTGGGCATTGGAGGACGACTCACTTCCGGGGCCCCGACATGGAGGCTCTCGGGGTTGGGGAGGAACTGGCTTGGGGACCTTGGGCCCCGTTGGACCCTGCCTGGGTTTTCTGACCCTCTGAGCAGGGCTTACTGTTACCAGAAGTGGGGTTTTTCTTCCTCCCCCTCTGCATGCGAGTTGGATTTGGGTTCGTTTTCTCCCCGGGTTCGGTTCCGTGTCCGTGTGGGTCATTCGGTTCCATCCTTCCGAAGGTTTTCGGCTTCTCTCATCTCGCCTACTGAGGTGTGGGCGGCCATTGCTGCTTACCTCCTGCGTGACCCGGCATTGACTATGGTCAGGTTTATCAGAAGGGCGACTTTGCACACCTTAATAAGGGCCTTTTTGGTCCAGCCCTTCTACAAGATGTTTTTGAGGTTGTTAGTGCCGATCCTGCTGGATGAATTCCAAGAAGGAAGCGAGCAGGTTGTGCTCGCTTCCTTCTTGGAATTCGCTTGGGCCCTGGCTCTTAGATTGTTTTCGTCCTTTTGTCCTTTGCTGTTTGCGAACTCTGGAGTTGAGCAGGCATGTGCAGCCGGCGGCTTCTAGCTGTCGTCCGATGTCCGACTTGTTGGTTCTCCGGGGTTCCCGGGTGGGTTTTTCCCGAACGGGTCGTGCTAGGGCTCAGGGTTCCGCCAGGGCTCAGGGTTCCGCTCGTCAAGGTAGACCTCAGGTGCCAGCATCAGAGCCGGTGCAGCCTTCAGAACCGTCTGCGTCTGGTCGGAGCAGTGATCGCTCTGTGCACAGGTCGGGTTCTCATAAGGGGCATCGGTCCTTTTGAGGTTCGCCCCATTGATGGAAAGATGAATGGAGACGAGGCTTGCTCTGTTCGTTCATGCCTGGTCTTAAGATTCGTGGGCTTTTCGGGTCGTTTCTTGTGGCCTGCGGTGGCATTAGGTCGCTGCTCCTCCTTCATGGGGTTCCGGGCTGGCAAGGTGGGTCTCCTCTCCTGCGCTGTCAGATCATCTTGGAGTGGCTGCACTTGGGCGTGGTCGAAACGATGACATCCCTCAGGTGGGTTTCTCACCTGTTTCCAGTTCCGAAACGGGACGGTGTGGACTTGCGGTTCATTCTGAACTAGTTGCGTGTGAACCCATGGGTTTATTGCCCCTCCTTTCAGATGACTACTGTCCCAGGTTCGTCTTCTGTTGGAGCTGGACGCTTGGATGGTGTCCCTGGACTGCAAGGATGGTTATTGGTACATCCTGATTCATCCGGGTTTCAGGGACTAGCTCGGTTTTGTTGTGGGGCATCAAAATTACCGCTTTCCTTGTCTTCCCTTTGGTATGAATCTGGCGCCTTCGCATTTTCACACGCCTTACTCGTGTCGGGGTTGGCCTCCTGTGTCTGTTAGGTCTTCGGGTTCTGGCTTAACTCGATGACTGGCTGGTTTGGGCTCCCAGCCGGTCGGTGTGTCTGCTCACCAGGGATTTGGTTCTTTCCCAGCTCGCTGGATTCGGGTTCCTGGCGAACTGGAGGAAGTCCCATCTGATTCCCACTCAGGTTTGGTCTTGGCTGGGGTCTTGTGTGGGACGCCCAAACTGCTTCCTTGTCTCTTCCTCCGGCGGCTCTGCTCCGGCTGCGTTCCTGCCTTCGTCTGTTCCTGAGGGGCTCTCGGGTCACGCGGCAGTTCCTCAAGGGTTTGTGCGGGAACCTGAACTTTGCCATGATGGTCTACCCGCCAGGTTGGGTGTGGCTTCATCGGCTGTTCTAATTTCTTCGGGGGCATCCCTTCCGTCTCTTTTGTGACTGCTGGGTTCGTCTTCCGGGAGCTTTGCGTCAGTTGCTGTGTCACCGGCACCCTCTAAGGGTTTTTCGGGGCTCGGTGCCTTGGTGCCTACCCAGTGCTCACCAAGCCAGCCGGGGACAGTGGGGTCTGTCCTTCTGTCGGGCTCACAGCACGGTGCGGGAGTTCGCGGCTCTGTGGATGTCGATCCGGAGGATTCGGGTAGCTCGCGGATTGACGATCCAGCTTCATTTGGACTGCTTCCTGGTGGTTCATTGCCGGAACCAAGGGGGTTCGATGCGGTCCTTGGCTCTATGAGGCTGGTCGCTTTGGGTGACTCGTCTACCGAGTTCTCAGGGTTTGGTTCTCCTGGCGGTTCACTTTCAAGGGATGTCAAATGTCCTGATGGATGGCCTGTCTTGGTTCATTCCCCTATGCACGGAATAGACGGTCGACACAGACTCGTTCAGTTGACTCTGCCGGACGTACGAGCACCTAGAGGTGGACCTCTTCACATCAACTTGGTCGAGGTGTCTTCCAGTGTATGTGGCGCCCTTCCCAGACTGCGAGGCCATCAGGGTCGATGCCTTTCGGCTGGACTGGTCGAGTTGGGGTTACCTGTACCTCTTCCCACTGGTTCGGTTGTTGCTCTGGGTTCTGGTTAGCTTAGAGACTTATCAAGGATGAGTAATCTGGTTGGCCCTTTGGTTGCCGGCCCAGCCCTGGTTTTAGGCGCTTCTTGCACGATGTCCGAACCCGTAGGTCTTCCCGCGACTCCGCCTCTTTCAGCAAATTGGACCATTCCGGTACATGGGTGGTTCGATCTTCTCTGCTTCTCGCGTCTGGTCTTTGGACGCGTGTTTATCACCACTTGTATGGTGATCAGGTGGCTTAGTTGGTGTCCCACCTGCAAGTTTCGTCTCGACGGCAGTATGAAATTTCCTGGCGTTTTTTTCGGCATTTGTCTCTTCGTAGGTTGTCTTCGATTTCTGGTTTGTTTTGTCCTTTCTCTCTTGATTGTTTCAGGACAGTCTTCTTATGCCAGATACTGTCGCCTCGTTTCAGGTGGCGCTGGCAGAGCAGCTGCAGCTTGCATTTGGGGTGGATGTCACTTCTGTTCTGTTCTGCAAGCTTGCTCAAGAGTTTTTTCACTTGCAGTCTGCTCATGGACTGCCTGAGCTGTTCTGGTCGTTGCACTGGGTGCTCTTTTCTCCCTTCTCTTCGGTTTGGGGTGGCACCCTCTGTTCAGGACTGTTTTTCTACGGCTCTTTTCTTGTTAGCATTGGCCTCTGGGGGTCAGGTCGGAGAGTTTCATGCTCTCCTCCGGCACAGGGGTTTTCTGCTCTTACAGTCCTGGTCTTTTCATCGTCTTCACAGCCTTCTTTTTTGGCGAAGAATGAGTCTGCTGCTTTCTGGAGGGGTCCTTGGATTGTTGATGCTTGGTTGATTTGGCCGGGGGTGCATCATGTTTTGTGTCTGTTTGTGGCTCTTTGCTATTATTTGCACATTATGGTCTCTGTGGCAGAGGACAGGTTTTGGGTTGACCCAATTTCCCCTTCTTCCCTATTCCAGGATGCGTGTCTCCCAGGTTGTCCGCAGGATTATTCGGTCCAGCCAGCCTGCGGTCTTTCCTCATGCCCACGCCGTTCAAAAGTTCAGCATTAGGCTGCTGTTTTGGTAATGTCCTACCCTATCTTTTTAGCACGGGGCTATTGGAGGTCGAACAGGGTCCTGGCTGCACTTTATACCTTGTTAATGTTCCTGGTCCTTCTCGGGCATGTATTGCCTTGGGTCGCAGGTCGCGGCCTGTTGTCTCGACTTTGAGTTGAGGAGTGAGTGACGACCGCCTCCCGAGTGAGTCCCTTTTTCTTCTTATCTTTGGTTAGGTAGCTCCGGGGAGCCGACGGGGCTCTCCACAGAAAACCAGTGTTGAATGTAATGAAACGGCATTTTCTGGGTGAGACCCGGAGGCTCCCCGGCATCCCTCCCTCCCTCCAGTCGGCGGTTTTTCGCGTTTTTGATACTCGGCCTCTGAACTGAGGAGAGTTGCCGGCGTGGAGATCTGGGATGCCCCGTCCCCCTCCCAGGGAGGGGGGGTTGCACAGTCAGATGTACGGCGGTTGTGGTGACGTTATGTTTGTTTCCTTGTTTTTGATTGGGGAGTTCTGCTTGCTAGTTCAGCTTTCTGTTTGAAATTTTTGACCAGTAATAGTTTTTGATATTCCTACCTTTCTGGGTGCCTGACCTAGTAGATGGCAGACAAACGCTGCTTCCAATTACACAGGGGTGTCTTTAGACCATTGCTCCTCATGCCTCTCTTGAGGGGGCCAGGTTCTGGCTCTGGTTCCCGGTAGGCTTAGAACTCCTTCGATTGACTGTTGCTACAGTCTAATATATACACATTAGCCCGGTATGGCTCCGGGGAGCCTCCGGGTCTCGCCCAGAAAATGTCGTTTCATTACATTCAACGCTATTTTTTTCATAAGGCAGTGAAAATTTTTAAATTTAAATAATATTTTTCTGTGGCAGTATATGGGTGCTCCGTTTATCTGGCGGGGTTTTAAATCTTACTCAGTACTTTAATACATCCCTGAATGTGAGGCGCCCCACTAGTTAAACATCCATAGATGTGATGCAGAGTTGGAGGGTTAATAAATAGTTGTATCATTTATCTAGGTAGTTCTCTCCAACTGTAAGGTGATCAGTGATGCTCAAATTTGCACAAGGTTATCTCAGCCCTAGTTGTCATTCCATTTTCATCAATAATATGAATGTCATTATTTATTTTTTTCCAATGCTTCTATGAAAATGTATTCAAAATTACCTAATTTACTTGATTTATTTACATATATAACATTTGTCTTTTACAGAATTTGCACAGAATTCTAAAATCAAACTATTTTCTGTTCACAAGTGACAGGAAACTTTCTTGACCCAGGTTCCAAACAATGTGTGTAGGCTTCTCTACAATTATGTACTTAAGACATGTTATTCCTAATTATGTTAATTACAGTGCCTTCAAGTCCATCCAGTTGGTGAGACGCATGCATACTAGCGCCTTCACCGACGCTCACAAGGCGAACATTGCCATAGCTTCTCAAGCAGATATGGTTGTGACTCAGTGGGCATTTTTTGGACTCGTAATAACACATGGAGAGCAACTGGGGATTCGCTGTACCAGAAAAGAGGAAGAGAGCCTTATCCACTTCTGGAAGTGCATTGGATACCTTTTAGGCATCGAGGACAGGTGAGCACGGTCATAGTGAATTAACATAATGGGAATCAGTGATACTATTTACTAATAAATCAAACTTTTCTGTTATGAAAATATTAGTATAAGTTTATGTACTTTGTCTCCATTATATTGTTGTCACAGGTGAGAGGTTCTCTACTTCGTGGTTGTCACAGGTGAGAGGTTCTCAACTGTGTGGTTGTCACAGGGGAGAGGTTCTCTACTTCGTGGTTGTCACAGGTGAGAGGTTCTCAACTGTGGGGTTGTCACAGGTGAGAGGTTCTCAACTGTGTGGTTGTCACAGGTGAGAGGTTCTCTACTTCGTGGTTGTCACAGGTGAGAGGTTCTCTACTTCGTGGTTGTCACAGGGGAGAGGTTCTCTACTTCGTGGTTGTCACAGGTGAGAGGTTCTCTACTTCGTGGTTGTCACAGGTGAGAGGTTCTCAAGTGTGGGGTTGTCACAGGTGAGAGGTTCTCAACTGTGTGGTTGTCACAGGGGAGAGGTTCTCAACTGTGTGGTTGTCACAGGTGAGAGGTTCTCAACTGTGGGGTTGTCACAGGTGAGAGGTTCTCAACTGTGTGGTTGTCACAGGTGAGAGGTTCTCAACTGTGTGGTTGTCACAGGGGAGAGGTTCTCAACTGTGTGGTTGTCACAGGTGAGAGGTTCTCAACTGTGTGGTTGTCACAGGGGAGAGGTTCTCAACTGTGGGGTTGTCACAGGTGAGAGGTTCTCAACTGTGTGGTTGTCACAGGGGAGAGGTTCTCAACTGTGTGGTTGTCACAGGTGAGAGGTTCTCAACTGTGGGGTTGTCACAGGTGAGAGGTTCTCAACTGTGTGGTTGTCACAGGTGAGAGGTTCTCAACTGCGTGGTTGTCACAGGGGAGAGGTTCTCAACTGTGGGGTTGTCACAGGGGAGAGGTTCTCAACTGTGGGGTTGTCACAGGTGAGAAGTTCTCAACTTCGTGGTTGTCACAGGGGAGAGGTTCTCAACTGTGGGGTGGTTGTCACAGGGGAGAGGTTCTCAACTGGGGGCTTATCATGTGTTAAAGGTCCTGATATCTGTGGTTTTCTCTGTTTTGTGCGATGGTTGTTTTTCTCTTGTTAGACATTGGGATGTCCTTTTAATCTTTCTGCTGTGGTTTGTTGTAGTTAGGTTGTGTCCCTGCTGTGTTGGGTTGTTGTGGGATATTTGGGGTTTGAATCTGATTATTTAAATATTAATGTAGTAAATTAAATTACGAAGGACCACCCGCTTTTAAAGTAAAGAGGGAAACTGAGAATTTCTGATCATTAGATAATTCCTAGATGAAACCAGTAACTATGGATAAAACTAGAAAGTATGATCATAATAATAATTAATGGGCTGTATTAATAAATGAAACAAACCTCAAACACCTACATTGGGGGGGTTATTACTGGAGGTAAGTACGTCCAGGAATTAGTGTGGTTCGTTCACTAATTCAATTAATAATAATCTAATCCTATAAAATAATATTGAAACTGATTTCATTACCAAAAGGAGGAACATAGATTATAAGCATAGTAATGAGTTACAGTAAACCACATATTATCCCAAAGAATTCTGCACAAGATAAATTGCAATAGAATTATAAAAAGGAAATAAATCTTAGCTTAATGAAGATTCCTTTAGAAAGTCATGGAAGTCCTCTTATTCTCCAGACTCGGTCGACTGACAAGTGGAACGGGTTAACATGGGGAAGGCAGCATGGAGAATTCTTCTCTCGTACTGCAAGACAAATAATTTTCAGTTGCAACTGATTGGACTATTAAATCTATATTCAAGAATATTAAGAGTTACAGGTGACAAATTTTAATCACCTGTTATTAGGTGTTATCGTGCGTCGTAACGGACAATCACCCTGCTACTATTAAAACTTCTACCTGATGCATCACATAAAAGAATATACTTAGCTGTGGGCACTGTATAAGTATTAAGATTGCCGTGCTTCGCATCTCAGGCTCCGGCTAGGCCTATCCTGAATAGTGATGCGTCCCGCTGGCTGGTCACGTGTCGTCAGGAACCAAGTCGAAGGGCTCCTTATTTGACACCAGCACTAGCTGAAGATACTATCTGCAAGGTTATTCACGCCTCACAGTGGAGACTTTCATCTGAGGATGGATAACACCTGCCCTATTTGCTGGGCAATGGCGTCTTCTTATGAGTACGGTAAGCGCTGGTCTGCCTCTGAGCGGCTCTCCACGTGTACTGAGATGGCGTCCCTCTACCCACGCCGAGCCCGCGTTCATAAAACAAATTATTGTCTCGAACATTAATATTTCTCGCATTTACGCTTGAAACGTTGAAGACTGGACGGGTTTATTATTTAGAGGAAGAAAATATTGTTATTTACCAATTTAAGAATAGTAAATATATAAGGGAGAGGAATTAATGTCTCCCCATGGCATTCATTGGTGACGTTAATTATATCACGAGATAGACGCTATGATTCTAACGCTCTATTCGGCTTTTAGTTAGAGATCAATTCGTCTGCAATTAGTTATCATACAGAATGCTTTAATTATGGAGAATCGAATTTAATTCTCACACACATTGGATATAATGTGTTTACTGTAAGGAAATCTGACGCAATACTGGCGTCAGGTGACGTGAGAATTCTAGCCTACTGTACAGATGAAATTATTAGTACATGAGAATTCTACGTGTTGTTAATTTTACTTACTACAATAATTAGTATGGTTAGTAATAAGTAATGAGAATACAACAATGTTGTATTCGGTGTTGGAAATATCCAACAGTTGTTGTCTTGGGGTGAAGCCTTGTCTTATCCTGGTTGGGATAGGAGTCTGATGATGGCAGTTTTTTCACCATTCACCCCTTTTGATGACACTGTAATGTGCCTGCTGGCACATTTATTTGATCTTGAGCTTGCCTCCAGTTCTTTCTGGGAAAAGGGTCCCCTTGTGGCTCACTGAAGCTAAGAAACTGGTATAGTCCCAGACTAGAATATGCCATCTGTTGCAGAATTCATATCGACCTACCAAGGAATAAGAGATAGAATCTAGACCCCTCAGAGAGGCATAGGAAGTAGTGGCAAAATAAAAAATTGTATGTAAATTTATTCATGTCAAGGAATGGCACCCAGAAAGTCAGAGAAACAAAACAGACCACAGCTTGGTTAGAAACCAGGGGCCAGATTCACGAAGCAGTTACGCAAGACTTACGAACGTGTACATCTTTCCTCAATCTTTGATGGCTTTGGCTACATTTATTAAACAGTTTACAAGCATGAAAATTATCCAATCAACTGTTGTTGTTATAAACAGTCTCCTGGTGCTTCGGAACTCATTAACTGTTTAATAATTGTAAACAAAGCCGCCAAAGAGTGAGAAAAGATGTTAGGTTCATAAGTCAGTTTTTTAGGTCAACCCATAAGGTTAGGTCAACCCATGTCTGTTATTTTCTTTTTTTTAATCAACACTGTTTGTCAACCTATTGTATTTGTGCTGCTTTTTCAGTCATGTTCCCCCTTTTTTTTTTATCTTTATTTGTATTTGTTCTCAACACTTTTTATTCTTTATGCTCAATTAGTATTAAGTTCTAGATATTAATGTTTTTCTTGCCCGAAACGCATTGCGTAATAGTGGCTTTAGGCATTGTATGTACTAGCTCTATCTATATATCAATCCATTAATGTAACATCACTTGTATGTATATACCTTACCTGAATAAACATATTTATATTTATTTATTTATTAAGTGTTTGTGTGACTTATTCGTGAATCTAGCCACAGACTGCCACCTCAAAACAGCCAAAAGAACTATTCCCAACAATGTAAACAAACGATCGAAAATTTGTCTAACTAAAGCGAGCTAGTTTGCCCCACCTCCATCTCTAATTTGAGGGGAGGAGGGAGGCAGACCGGGTCAGCTGGCTGTTCTGCCACTAGTTCTTATGCTGACGTGGACTCTGCCTGGTCACCCTAGAACTTCATGTGCTCAGGGTTACCTTCTCTGTATGCTTCTTAAGCACCTTGTGCTGTCAGCATTATCTTACCTGGAATGTTTGCGGCTCATTTCCTTAGAGGGTCTCCACCCGTCAGATAAGCTGGTAGCTTGCACTATTCAGATAAGCTTGCACTATCTGTCTCTCCTCGGATAAGGAGGGTGTTTTGGCTGGTGAGGCGCACTGTAATTCACATGACCTTGCTGGGGTGCCAAGGTAGTCCTTCCAGCTTATTTTCCTGGTTGGGTCTATGATTCTCCCTCATATCTCCCGTGGTCTGCTGCTTGAGAGGCGTGGTCCTAGTTGTTATTTTCAGTCCTTTAACCCTTAAACTGTGCATATTTAGAGCCTGGAAGCAAAATATATTTGAATTATGTAAAAAAAAACTTAAATAGTTAGCCAAATCTCCAATTTATTGGCTTTAAACGTCGTGAAACTTTCATCAAAATATATTCAGAAATCGATGTTAGACTAATTTTTTAAAAAGTAGAATGTTTTGTTGATAAGAAGAACAGCTCCTATTAACTGGAACTAAGGGATAATGCAATAATAGAGATGCAAGCACCTGTCCAACGCTCAAAGAAGAATAGTAGTAAGAAGTGTCCACAAAGTGGATATGCAGCTGGTGCCTTTATAGCATTGCTGAGTAATTCATAATACAACAAATAATAAAGAGTAAGTATGCTATTATGCTCTATTTTGTTATATATCATATAAATACATTGCCCAATGTTAATATATGTTACTTTCATCAATGTCAAAAAACCATCATTGAATGTAATGAAACGCCATTTTCTGGCTGAGCCACGGAGGCTCCCTGGAGCTTATCGGGCTAATGTATGTTATATTAGACCGGGATATTAGCTAAGGAGTTCAGACCTACCAGTGCCAAAACCTGGCCCCTTCAGAGAGGTTTCAGGGAGCAATGGCCTTGGAAAACCCTCTTATGGTTGGGGTTTTCCTTATCTGCCATCGACTGGGGTGAGGCACCCAGAAAGGCAGGCATAACAAAACAAACCCCACACGGT